AAAGGAATGAATTTGACCCACTTTCAAGGTCACTGGGGTCAGATGTCTTAAAATCTTCAAACAACTTCTACTCAATAACCAAAAGGCCCAGGGTACTGATATTGGGCCTGTAGCATGCTGGGATGAAGGATTACCATGTTAGTTCAAATGAATGACCTTGATCCACTTTCAACCTAACGACCTAGTTCGACAATCAAGGTCAGAGGTGTCATATGTTTAAATCTTTTAATAGGTTCTTATGAAATATTAAGATTACAAGTGTTAGATTAATAATAGGTGAGCGATGCAGGCCCATTGGGCCTCTTGTTTTTAAAGTAAAGTGCTCAGCATAGAGTTTATAAGTAAGCATGTTTTTCAATTTAACACTAACTTTGAAATTCTAATATCACAATATTTCTTTGAACAGATAAGAAAAATAGCATCCTGAAAGTTAAAACTCAAAAGACAAAGTTGATTTCAAGCCCATAATATTTCATTTTAAGGTTTTCATAACCTTGTAGAATTAGCGTAAATCCAGCTGACAAAATTTGCTGCAGAATGATTTACGTTTCAGCAGACATAACATTTCATTACTGTTATTGATACGACTCGTCTCCAACTACAACTATTGATAATGACATTGGTGGTTGGTTTCCATGCCAACAGCCAGAGAGAAGGTAATCTATAAGTGGGAAATTATTTTTAATACGGAGCTCATTAAAAGTGTCCAGACTAATGATGTACCGACACCGATGGCGTTGATGATGGGGACATCAACGACAGAACGTCGTCCGTAATGACACATTCAATTTTCTCGATATTTTTTCCCCTATAACTACACGAGGATTATCAGTGTTACAGAGTAATTACTATACAGTATGGCTATGTCGACATGACATGTGAAACTTTCGAGATGATCAAGGCAGTAAAACAGGGGCATGCTTGGGCTTTTTAAGGTAGACATAAGCGCTATAGAGGTGTCATTGAGATTATATTGAGATGAAAACAGTATAATATGGTCATTCTTCGGCCAAGTTTTGAGATGAAAACAGTATAATATGGTCATACTTTAGCCAAGTCTTGAGATGAAAACAGCATAATATGGTCATACCTCGGCCAAGTTTTGAGATCAAAACAGTATAATATGGACATACTTCGGCCAAGTTTTGAGAGGAAAACAGTATAATATGGCCATACCTCGGCCAAGATTTGAGATGAAAACAGTATAATATGGACATACTTCGGCCAAGTTTTGAGATGAAAACGGTATAATATGGTCATACTTCGGCCAAGTTTTGAGATGAAAACAGTATAATATGGTTGTACTTCGGCCAAGTCTTGAGATGAAAACAGTATAATATGGTCGTACTTCGGCCAAGTTTTGAGATGAATACGGTATTGTGACATCCTATGGCCAAGTTTCTGTATGATAACTCTCCTGATACACAGATTAGCAAATCACAGCCAAGAGTTAGAGTAATGTCAATTTCTGATCTGCCGTACTCAATTATTTATTGTAAACAAAATCATTGATCCCACTGGTGTTGATCGAGTTTTTGATATTCCTGCATACTTGTCAGAGATATCCACATTTCCGGCAGTCCTGGAAAATTCTATCCAACCCGGGGGACTGGAGTTCCTGTTTGTGCACTTAAGCGTGGAACTACTTTCATCAAGGGGGGGATAATTTTGGCTTTGTTCACATGTCATTTTCTCTCTGCAATACAATCTAAGATCTATGTACTCTTCAAAATCACAGATATTGCTTGTACAGACGGAAAACGGAAAAAATTGCCGACATTAAGTTTCGCTCATATTCATGGGACTGTCTTAATTTGTCTTGTGTCATTTGATTTTTTCACATATTAGACAATACTTAGTAATTTGTCTTCAGAAAAAACTAGATGGTATAGAAGAATTGGATATATCTAAGAAATGAACTATAAATTAATTCATTTGGACTCGGGATCAAATATTGACCAGAGACCCTACCTAGGCAAGCCTCATGTCCTTGGTCAATATTTTACCCCTTTTGGCTTGAACAAACCCAAAGGATAAAATATTGAGCAGATACCCTAGACAAGGAAGCCTTGGGTCTTGATCTGTTCAATATTTCATCATTTGGTTTTGAATTACTTTGTCCATAACATACCTCGGCAATTGATTTTATTAGTGCATACTGTAAGCTACACTTGAGTGCTTTTAACAATTTAGAGTATCTTGGTGTATCGAAATCACAATCAACGTTATTTTGTATATATACAGAGGTTTAGAGGTACATGTATTGCAATCCTAGCATATACACTTAACACACACGCGTCCTGTTCTGTTGGGCCTTTTACAAGAATGTTAAAGTCAGTTGTGTTTCATAGATAAACTATCTGAATGTCACGACCCACATATCAACAGATATTATTCAATGGGAGAGACGACTATTTTTTTGTCTGTTTTAGCCTTATTTTATACGCAGAATAGACAGTTTTCGCATGTGATGTTGTATATTTACATGCAGTGTTGAACGGCTGTCGTTTAAAATGTGCGGTCACGGGATAATTATTTTGCCATTAGACATGTGGTTATGTGGTAATGTCCCTGTATTATCAGTCTTGCTTATCCTGTTCAAGTTAAAAATAGTTTTTCATTCAGAAAAAAATACAAATGTTATTTAGTTTATTAAAATTATTAAGTTTCAGCAGAATCTCACTCTATGTCACATAGTGATTTTTTATTAGTTGTGTGGCTCTTAATTACTGTGTTGATGGGCCATTAATAAAATTGATCAAACGAATCATACAAGTAAATTGCCAGCTAAGGTTGACAGCTGTCAGCCAGTAATTGATGACACATTGAAAAGTACACTCAAATTAATGGTTACTCTGAATTATTAGATGCTGTAAATTAAGAAAAATGTAAGGGAGATAACTCCCTTATATAAAGTAGCATTCACCATTAACTCTTATACAAATCACAGGTAAAATATGTAAGGTATGTCGCATATAACCTCAACTCTTACACAAATCACATGTACAATGTGTAAGGTAGCATATAGCCTTAACTCTTACACAAATCACAGGTAAAATGTGTAAGGTAGCAAACACCCTTATAACTCTTACGCAAAATCACAGATAAAATGTGTAAGCTAGGTAGCATATAACCTTAACTCTTACACAAATCACAGGTATAATGTGTAAGGTAGCATATAGCCTTAACTCTTACACAAATCACAGGTATAATGTGTAATGTAGCATACAACCTTAACTCTTACACAAAATCACATGCAGACACAATATTTGAGGAAGTTAACTCTGATGCAAATAACAGATATAATGCATGAGGTAGCAGATATCCTTTGGCAGTTTTCAATATATAGACTCTGTAGTCTACAGTATCTTCCATTTTGATCAGGATGTATATAAGGGGGAAAGGCAGGAAAATCATAATTTAATATTTATACTGTACCAACAAAATAAAAATAAAAAATAAAAAAATCTAAACAATCTGAAATTATGACATCTTCAGTAAATTGATATGTTAATTCATTCTGCTGTTAATGATAGTATACACACATACATACATACATCTGTTATAATTTAATCAACGTATAATATATATACAGTATGTCATTATCTTGGGACTCTGGGAGATGTGTATGGCTTGGCTTTCAGCCAATGAATGGTCAAGTCATTGCTACCTATAGTAGCTATGTGTGTGTCAGTCATACATAATTAGGGGAGTTATAATGGGTTAATACAATCACCCATAATATCAACAACAGCCATATGTTGTACTATAGAGTGCTGGACATGTGGTCAGAACTGACCATTTTGTATCAGTGTACAGAGAGAGTCCCATAGGGCTGGCAGCTAGAAAAGAACTGGAGTATACAATTCTTGATTGGACGTAGTTAACTGGGAGACTGGAATTTATTTGCTATTAGATAAATGATGTTTTTACCTTCCTGACCATCTGGTCACCTTTGGTATTCTGTTGACCCCAGACCAGTTTAAAGGTGACCGATGCAAGTGACCATTACAGGATTCTACAGTGCCTGGGATAGTTGTGTCCGCATTTGAGAAAGGATTAATATTCCATTTTCTGAGGAATTATTTACTGCTGTTTAAAATGAACCTATCACCAATGTTTACTGCGAGTGATTGTCTCCTATGACAAGTGTTGTACAGAGCGAGTTTTTTTTGTACTTGAAAATGGCTCCACTGATCCAAAGTCAATATCTGACTGACCACGGCTGTTCATGAATGACCCTTAGTGAGTTTATGTGGCCATAATTTCTGAATTACACCATGCAGTGCTGTCCCTATGCCTCGGGATTGTTTCGAGCACCAAGTGCTGGCCCTGATGTGGCCAAAGCACATGCTTCAAAAGAACACATGGACAGTTTGTCGCAGTGGTATCAGGTTGTGTCGGAACAAGCACGGATGCTGGACCTAAATGATAAAATTTTCCAGGAGTAAATATATATTCTTTTAAAATGTGTTTACCATATTTACCATGAAATAAGCCCATGTCTAGTAATAAGCCCACCCCTACCTGTTGCAGTTCGGTATACATGCTATCAAAAAATATTGCATTTGCCTGTAATAATTCAAGCGCACAAACTTGGACTTTGAGTCAGAATATATGTGTGTTGACTTAGAGTCCGAGAATATATGTGTGTTGACTGAAGGAAATGTGCAAAGGAATTCTTAAAACCAGAGAAAAATGGGACTTTGAAATATGTTGACAGTAAAGAATGAGGCAAATGAAAAGAGGAGCATTATATTGAGGTTTTACTGTTTCTGTTGTGTACTTGTCTTGAATTCAGTTTATTTGTTTCCTCCCCATTCCCCTCACCTCCAGAACCCCACATACTTATAATTAAGACCTGTACATATATCTCTAAAATCTCAATGGTATACTTTTTCCTGGTTACAATTTTTTTTCGTGAAGGTGATGTATATATACATGTAGATAGATATAATTCTGTAATATTGAGTACTAAACAGATCTTTTATTATTTTCAGTACGGAGGGCAGGAAACGCCTTGCGTCAGCCCCCGCGCCTTTGCCACCAGAGACAGACGAAGAAGGCGGAGATTCATACAAATTCATACAAAAAGGGGGTGATATCCCTATTCGAGGCCTACAGAAACCCGCACCCGAGCGGGGAGCAAGTAAGTACTGAAAAACACACTTAGACAGGTTCTAGGTGCACGCCTGGACTTCAGTGCATGGACGAGAGTGTGAGTTTTCTTAGTGACTTACGTCTCGAAGCTTCCCCAGAACATTTAGCTTCACACCGCCGACCTACTCTCTTACCGTATTTACTCTAGAGAATCAATTTATCATTATCACATCAGTTGCTTAATTTCTTTCGTTTTTCTTCTTCTGTTATTAACATAGACCTGTATTTAATAGATTGTCTTATTGATGTGAGTCAATCCTTCAGTCTTTCTAGATTTGTATCATTATAATTATTACCATGTAATCCGTGATGCCCTCTCACGCCATTAGAACTGTTCAATGTTGAATTTGTAATTATATAATAAATGTTCTGTTAATTACCGAAGATCAAATTCCATATCCAAAGATTAATTGAATCGGTAATTAATTGAAAGCTGGTTTCCTGCTGTGTTTTCAAATAAGCCCTAAATAACCCCCAACCCCCAAATGACTAAGTACCCCTGTTACAAGATTAAGTACATTGACCCCCTCCCAGGCCGATTCCATCTCACTGTACCTTCTAACTAAGATACACCTACTGTAGTAGAAGAACTCTGCTTTAATTAATTAACACCGTCCCTTATAGCTCATTGTATAGACACTTAAGCTTCCTGTTAACCCAGATGGAGGAGCTGGTATAATCTCCAATCAGAATGAATGGGTTCTGTTGTAGATACCTTATCCCTCCATTACATATCTCTGTAAGGCTAATATATAGACCTTAGTCTTCTGTTTGAAACCTTTCTATCCCCAAACATCTCGTCATTATAGCTCCGAGACCAACTTTAAATATTGTTCAGTATTTGTGATTTAAACCTTGCTCCATTTCGAGCTCATTCTAGGGTATTTTCAGTCCATTTTGCTGGGATTTTTATTTCCTTTTCTGGGTAGTTATAGAAACTTTTTTTCATTGTGTATGAGGCTGCCCTTAGTCAAATCTTGAAAAAAAAATAAAAAAAATGTAAATATAATATTTTGGCTGGTATTAACAGGGTTCTGCCACGAAATGTCTGTTATTTTATAGCTTGCGTCTTAACTCATACACCCCTGAAGACACATTTGAACTCTTCCAATTCAAAAGTTGGAATAGTTTATTATGAAATTTCAGGGGTGAATGAGTTGATTGAGCTGGAGGTTTTTCAAGGGATATTGGAGCCTTGATATAAGAATGTGAGATTTTTTCAACTCTCTGTCCAACTTATAATCTTTAAAGCTGTATAAACACTCCCTGGGAATGCATGAGACATGTTAATTCAAATAGCAACAAGGAAACATTTAAGCAGATTCTGGTTGGGAGAAAATTGAATGTTTGCTAGCGTACATGGCCATATTATAGCTGCAATCGGTGGAATAAATTGCATAGCACGATGCATGTTACAAGCAGGGACAGATTTTTTTGTCAGGTTTTTCTTCAGGTCAGGCATCGTCAAGTTTACAATGACAAAAATTGACCTTGCCTTGATTTCTAAGGTCAAGTGAAAAACTTTTGAACATGTCCATTTATAGCTTTGTCTTCTGACTCATAAAGTTTCTCAATTTAGCCATGACACAGTGGGAAATGTTATTAAAAGAAACTTTACATTCTTTTAGAATTTTACAATATTGCAAAAAAAAAATGTTTCAGAGGCATGAGAATGATATCAAAATTAATATAATTTTTTCAAATAATATTGAATAAATGTAATGGATAAGCACTTCCCATAAAGGGAGGTAACCCAGTATTCTCCCGTTGTTCATATTGCGATATATGTCAGTCTATGAAAATAAGCACTGTCATGAAACATTGAAATCTGGCATAATTTTACAGCACATATTCTGATTGCAAACAATATATATATATATATGTATCTTGTGGTGAGTTATTGTTGCCAGCATCAAACTCCGTAATGAATAAAAGGCAGAGATATTTGTATGTGCTCAAAGTTTGTTTGCAACATCTTTTACTAGGCTAGAACATTTGTTGAGACGGAGAAATAGTAACAAATTGCTCACAGTTGATTCAATTTTGTAAAATTAAAAATCTTGTGAAGCTTAAAAAGTTTTGTTATAAGACAGAATTTCCATTTTAAGCAATACATATAATGCAGTTGACAAAACCTGTTCATTTAGCACCTCTACCATTCGTCCGATTGATTTTTTTTTTATAGTTCGATAATTTCTTTAAAAGCTTGATGCATGTTCATATTTGTATGACCTCGATCATATAGCATGACCTGGACCATCGTTATTGGAACATTTAACCTCACCTCGTATACATTATTACTCACATATATATATATCAGAAAATGCTATTGGAAATGTATATCATTTCATGGTCATTTGAATTATTTCATTTTGCGCAAATTTTTAAAAAATTGTATCTTTGGTAAGAAGCATAAAAAGTATCATTTGAAATGTAATTCTTTGTTGCAAACTTTTGAATCGTCATCATTGCAGTCCTTGATATTTGAAAATTAAAACTATTTTATTTGCATTTTCAATCTGCTCGCACAGATATAGTGATAATTTGTTCCAACGACTGACCTCCTCGTAATAAAAATAACTGTGTTACTAACCAAGCTGTTTTTTTCAGACCGATGAGGATGTAAAAGGATGGTGTTTTATATTCCCTGGGCATGCTCCCTTTCTTAGGGTTCCTTCCTCCCCAGTGTGACATTTGTAGCGGATCCCATCAATCTGACGAAAAACTTGTAGCTTTTTGAAAACATTATCGCCATGCTGACACGATCAGTTCTACAGATGGAGATACGCTCCGGTCAGGTTCAGCCGTGTGTCCAACCTCTGAGCAATGAGTCTGACGCAGATGAGCGTGACAGGTACGCTGTAGGTCAAAGGTCACGTCTCAGCCTCAGACTCGGTCACCAGATAGCTACGTCCAATAGGGAGCCAGTAGAGAATGTAGGATGGGGAGTTACTCCCTCTGACCCCAAGTACGAGGTTCAAGCTGATACACCTGAGGTCATTGAGCCAATGACCAGTCAACATTACCACGGAGACCTGAATTACATTGACCCTCGAGATGATGAGTTATTCTTAAATCGGTTCCAAAAACTTAAAGATCAGTACGAAGACCCGTCCTTGTCAACCCCTTCAAACAGTCCACGAAAAGTTGGTCAGTACGAAGATTCATTGTCGTCCACACCAACAGCCAGTCCAAGGAAAACGAATCAGTACGACGATTCAATGTCGTCCACAGCAACAATCAGTCCACGTAGAATCAACCTCATCTCCGTCCCACAAAGTCATCTACAGCTCACTGAGACTATTCGGTGTTCCTCTGCTCGACCAAATGCTTCTCCTGTTCCTGGGGGACGGGACTTAGACAACTCTCCTTGTCCTAGAGATAGAGAAAGTCATATCTCAAATAGCATGACAGAAAACAATGAAGAACGCCACGACTATCCTTTATATGGAAGTGAAGACTATGAGAGTGACAAAGGTGTGTCGCTACGACCGGATTATTACGACGAACTAGAATACAATACTCAAGGCGTAGATATGTCCCAGGCGTATAACAATGAAGATTTTGATGTAACACGGACATCACTTTCCTATCCATACGATGAGAGAGATGATATGCCACAACAACAAGGCCAAACATTTCCTGACCCGTGGTCAAAACTCATGTCCTTCACGCCAGATGAACAGGAAAGCAGTGACCAGCAGGACGACAGTGAACCAGCCGTACAATCGATTTCCGCAAAGGCGTCGGTGTGCAGCGACAGGTCATCGCGTCTCGATTCCCACACTTACCAGACCTATACTGCCGGGCTCCTACACTCGACGGACAAGTCAGACGACTTCCAGACACTCCAAAGACATTTTCACAATCTTGAGAAAATAACTAGTATGGAAACAAAGAAATCTCGTCCAAAAAGCATGGATCATGCTCTTTTGGAGCTAACAGACTTCACAACCGAGGAAGAACTAAAGCAACTCAGTGAAGAGTTAGAAGATTTTAAAAAGACTAAGAAATTGCCGACACGAAAACAGAAACCCTGGACCCCCCACAAGGACCGCGGACTGATGAAACGGGAGAAATCTTTAGGTGACATTCGTGCTGTTTACGATAAACTTGAGAAAACTAAAAACAAGCCTAAATCGGATCAGGCCGTACCTTCAAATGAATCTGTGAAGGTGAAAAAGATTTTGACACATTTGGAAACCATATCTGCACCTGATGTAGATGCGCCTGCCGTAGAGTCAAAGAACTATAAAGCTAAAATTCAAGATACGAAAAAAGGTCGTGAAATATCTGTGGTACATGCCAGGTGTGTAGAGACTGATAAAATAACACCTCACCAATCAAATAGACAGGATGGCAGCCATAGGAGACGAGATTGTCCAGGTTCAAGTGCTGCTAGTCCACGACTACCACCTGTAAATACAGTGAGTCCACGTCGGGTAGAGAGGGCCATTTACGGGACTCACATAGACGAAACCAACAACCAGTATGAGATTTACGTAAAGGAAAAGAAGAAGGAGTATAAGGATGACATGGGCGTGGCTAGCCTCCATGTGAGATGTATGTCTGCCCCCTACACTAAGTCCTCCGCCCTCAGCATCCCGGAATTAGGGACTGATCCCTCACAAACCTGTTCAGGGAATGCTGCCGAATCCGTTGGGGTCCCGACAGAGAATCCCAGACAACAGGTAGAGAGCTTTCTAGAAGACCACCAATATGTTGATGTGTCTGTCAGCCCAAAAGGGGGCCGAAGGGAGGAGGGAAGATCACGCAGTACAGCTTACTCGCCGCTACATGAAGAACTTACCGAAGACGTCGGAGAGAAGGCCCCGATCATGCATTCATTCAGAGAAGATGGCAATTACACTAGTCCTCAAAGAAGTATGGGAACTAATCAGCCTAGCCGAGAAATGATAGACCAAACAGAACAACAGTTTTACACCGGAAACGACGAGTGGAGTAGAGACGGTCCTGATGGTTATGAAATGGAGACTTCATCTCTGAACAACAAATCTCAGATGCAGCCAATGGAGGATGTTCAGTTCAACGTCAGAAATTTAAGGGATTTGGCGAAAGGAAATGAGTTCGCCCAGGGTAAGTTTGCCCAAAGGAAGCCGATCCTTGAGAAGTACCTAGCTGACGTATGGCAGAGATCGGCCAGGGGCGAACTTCCACAGGACATAGAATCAGACGACCAGAACATGCCCGAAACATACGGTCTGATTGTACACAGCCACTGGGATGATAAACAACAGCCAGTGCTGGAGACGATTACCACATACCCGCCACTGACCTCAGCTTTGACCTCTGACCTTGACGACGATGACAGTCTGTCGTCGCGGACGAGCAGCACAGGGACGTTCATCATCAAAATTGGTGACAACGAGGAAAGAGATATGGGTGACCTTTCCAGGGACTGGGTTCCATCTCCGACACCTTATAATCGCTGTCAGGATGACATATCTACCGGCAGACGGCAGGTAGGGTCAAGGTCACCAGGTCATTTTTATCATGACGATTGTCACCCGGACGACATTCCACTCAATGAGACCTACACAAAGTCGAAATCACAGCCTAACCTGTCTGACAGCTTTAAAGAACAGTCGCTAGCATCTCAAGCATCTAAGTCGCAATCAAATATAAATAGAAATAAAAAATTCAATGATTTTGCCCTTCCAAGGACGATATCTGGAAATTTGAAAGATGTTTTTAAAGATTACAGAGACCAGAAGAAGTTTACGAGATTCGAATCTGAAAATGGCATACAAGGTAGTCCAACTGTTAATAATAATGGCTCGCCTAAGTCGTTGAAATCCTACAGTCCAGTGCAGGAGATGCAGTTCATCAATACTATAGGAAATGAATGGGCTCAAGAAGACGCAAAGTTGTCACAGAAAAACAGCCAACCACCCTACAGGAAAAGGATTCAGACACAGATCCCTAGGGGTTCAACTCACCACCGTCCAGCACAGCCCCTCAGACATCGTCCCCCACCCGAAGTGCCCTTTCATCCCAAGGGGAAGGGCCAACCCAGACCAGGAGATACACCTACCAGACCATCAGCTACAGGTTACTAGTACTAACACTTCCTCATCCTCAACACTGTATAGGTAGTTGCTATGGTGACACTGTCAGTCTCATCCTTGATTTTGTAGTCGCCATGGTAACACTTTCCGTCCTCACCCTGTTTTTCTGTTTCACTGTGTTGTGTCACAATGGAGACAACTAAAAGCTTGTTTTCCCCCCGGGCATCGAAAACACGGGGTGCTTTCCATGGAAGGGCTGCACCAGTTGGAACAGCCCTCAAAATCTATTTATAGACAAAAGCAACTTTTCATTGACAAATCAAACTGTCTAGAAATAGCTGAATTTGTTGTCTTCAGCTTGAAGTACTTCATCACTGTTCATTAAGATTACTGTAAGCATTTGTAAAATTCAGCTTTTTTTATATAAGTAAGTCAAAGAGTTTTCCGTTTGGTTGAATGTATTGGAATACTCCTATTAAAGAATGCTGTTTATTAACTAGCATGATTGATGTATTAGTTTCAAACTTTTTTTTTATTCAATGAAAGCTAAATGCTGGATTGTATGGAAAGTGCCCTAATGTTCTGCCCTCAAAACACAACACAAGCTTTCCTCACAAAGCTGTGATGTGAGTTGAAGGGCGGAAGATAAAGTGATGTTTTCATGCCTCGGCTGTCACTCTCTGTCTCTGCTTCCTGCACAGCATCCAATCCTCTGTAATCACCATGACAACCCAGTATGGCCATGTAGCACTATTATTATGGGATGGTTGTCGGGGAATCAGGTTTATTAGCAGTATGTGGTTGGGCATTTTTGTCTTGGAAAATAGAGGCTTGTGAGGGCCGTTTGAGTTACAAGTCTTGCATGCAAATCTCAGGGCAGTGTCTCTTCGATACCTTTCCACTTGACACAATACATTAAAATTCAATAAATAAAATTATTCATTTTTTAAGTCGTCCTCATTCCTGCATTGTTTTAATTAACATACCCGTTTTCCTGTGTTTTTGTAACTTGTTGCTTTGTATTTACTTCTTACCCCCGTTGTTTATGCAGATTTTCTTCTCAGTGTGATTTCCGTTAATTTCTTTATTTTTTATTTGATGCATGAGGTTCTTTTTTCCCTTTTTGCATGAATAGAAGTAAAGGATCGGTGTGAGCCTCCAAAAGTGCCGCCTCTTCCACGAATGTCTCCAGGGCATCAGCCATTCACAAAGCACCATTATCAGCCAATCAAATGGGAGCCTTCTCGAGGTTCTAGTTCTCTTAGAAACGGCACTCCGTCCCCCATACCTCCGGCCAGAAAACACCCTATAAAACGGTTCTTGCCGGGCAACAAAAAGATTCGCAGCAACCTTTCAGCTGCAGAGCAGCTCGGGGTAACCAGCCCCCCGCCACTCGGTCTCCCTAACGGAGGTACTCTAGCCCGTCTGCTCAGTCACCGTGTGTATTTATATCTAGATTGATGTGGTGGCACAAAGTACTAAATATAGGGCGCTGGCTGCACTAATATCAAAATCATAAACCATTTACTCACGCTATTTACACAGGGGTGGTAGTGGCACCCCTTACAACATAGGTATACCACAGTAAAAGCTAGCTCACAACATAGAAATCATTTTTAATTATCATAAGCTTCAATTTTGGTGTTTGCAATAATATTTTGTTACTCTTGTGTGTATTTTAATTTAGCTAAAACCGGGAAGCATTGATCGCTGTTGATGCTCGGAAGATGATGATAACAATGCTTGAATTTTTTTAATTTTTAATTTAAACAAAATTATAATCTCAAACCTTTCTAAACAGTCTTTGATGATGAATTGAGTTTTGTTGATGACTCTGGTGAGTATGTGTCTCTTGATATGCATGGTCAAGTTGACCAGGGCCGGTCACTCTGTTAGGGTCAATTTTAACTCTTTTAACATATAACTCCAATAACTAAGAACATTCAACTCAAATGAAGCATGTTGTTTGGACTTCATTTACTCTTGAAGGACTTCACGCATGTAAAGAGCTGCATGCGTATGTTCATTTTTTGAAAATCATTGAAATGCTTGATTAAAATATGAAAGAGCAGGTAAAAAAAAAAAGCATGCAAAAGATTCAGAAAGGTCCCAAAAATGTTTGATTATGATAGTGAACAGAGAACATAAATAAGCATGTGAAAGACCTTATAATTCATTTAGTTCAGGTCCAATTTCAATATAAAAATGAGAATGTTTATAGCGAAGAGCATATAAATATATGTTCAATTTTAGTGTTTCATTTATGCTTCAAGTAGAAAACAGAGTTTTCATGAGGCATGCCTGATAGCTCCTAGATCAAGAAAATGTTTTATTGCTATGAATTATAAAAGGAAAGAAACAAAGATTGCCTTTTATCAAAAGTAACGGTCTAATCGTCCTAGCATGTGTAGACATAGTCGGATCTGAAGCTTCCGGTTCATTGTTGATTCCCGCTTAATACCCATAACAGATTTCTGCTATTATATTAATTCCTGAAATGTTTGTGAAATTACGAAAAGAATTAATGGAATTAGTCATTAAACATGATAACATTTCTGTGTATCCCAAGTCCGATCTAATTTGATTTCATCAAGAATACACGTGTTCTGGTAGGCAGATTATCATGAGAGGGAGAAGAGTTAAAATCCATTGGAGTATATAACGATTTAAAAGTTAAAAAATTAAAAGTAATTTTTAAGAATCTGCATCAGACTTGTTGATGTATATTTAATTAGCCACTAATCTGGCCCTTTTGAAGCAAATCATCCTTAAAGAACATTTCAATAAATATTTTAGATGTTGTTTTTTTTTCTCGTCCGCGTGTCTTGCCATAAACAGCACTTGGGATTTAGTTAGAGTAAGCGCAGCTCTGGTATGAATAATTTACCGACTTTCTGTTACATTCTTCCCTAAACTGTTTAGGACAATTTCCATGCTAATGGGAAACAAATTGCTTGAAATTTGTAATTAGGAAAAAAATAGTTTGTGTATTCACTAAAGTATCGGTTATATTACAGTAGTAGTTTTTATAGAATTTGATGTAAAAGATGATACACCCAGGGTTAAAAAAAGAAAAGAAAATGTGTTAGTGTGAAGATTTCGTAATTTTAAGGGAGCGACATATATAGATAAAAGTAAATGTTGCTCTCGCAAAATGAAATATTTGTAGATGATTTTTTTAAATAGAATAAAAACTGGTGAATGTTTTAACTCATTTACCCCTGAAGTTTCATAATGAAATATTCCACCCTTTGAATTGGAAGAGTTTAAATGTGTCTTCAGGGGTGAATGAGTTAATCTTGCTAAATCATGTATCTATAGTATATACATTTAGGCTTTAAGTATGCTAGATATGGATTTATTGAAGCAGACATCAACTGTCCTTAATATTTCCTTTCCATATTTTGATGAATATCATAGCTATTTCACAACCTGTTCCTATATCTATAATTTCAGTGAAATTGTATATAAAGCAAAATTTTAGTGTTCAGATTCCTTGTGAAGCGGAGATCCGTAATTAAATGCTATAATATATTATGACCCTTCTGACAATTTTAAGTGTTCCCACTGTAACTCAAGGAGATCCACTTGATCCTTTTCTTTTTTCTGCTAGTGTGGAAGAATGTTTGGATCCTTGTCTTTTGGTTCTCTTCCCTCTGTTAGGCAAGGCGAGCCAGTGGATCCTTGTCTTTTGGTTCTCTTCCCTCTGTTAGGCAAGGCGAGCCAGTGAATCCTTGTCTTTTCCGCATGTTCTGCCTGTGTTTTGCCTGATCTGTAACACCGCTTCCGTTTGACCTTGACCTTTTATTGATTCTCGGTGTGCTTGTATTTTCCTTCCTAAGCCTGTAACGTTCTTGAAGCTTGAACCTTTATAGTTAGATTTCTCATCTTGATTCATTGAAACTGAATTTAATTAATTTACTATTAATTCCTGGTAAAAATATTATTATGTTTTCCATCAACTTTTAGTTTCCAGTAAAAAATATTGATTTTTTGTCAATCTAGTGTCATTTTGATATTTAAACATTTGATTTAATTTTGTCTTAATGTAAGTTATTTTATTTCTAACTAATTTGGTGTAATTTTTCATCCATTATCATTAGCATGCTATGATTAAATGTGTTGTTGTACAAGATTATTGAGTTGAAAAATACATGTATGTTGTGGAATGTTTGGGGAGAAAAAGAAAAAAAATCATAAGAGAAACAAAAAGGCTTCATGAAAAGTATGAATACATTTATGGAGTGAGGCGATCAATCTTGAACTAAGAATGAAATGTTAAGATCATTTACTCAATCATACTGTTGTGATGTTGTAGAGAATGTGATGAAGAGCAGGGGATGTATTGTCAATTCAGATGATATTAATATAAAGTGGCGTACAAAGAAAATTAAGCTTTGTTGACTGGATCTAGATCAATCTTTACAACAGTTTCCCAAGAAAGAGGTTCTTACAAAACTATTCACCCTTCTTCATTCTAAAAAGATCGAATTTTAATAGAGTTGTTTCCCTTCGTAATTGCAGCGTTTAAGCACCAGACCACTGATGCGAAACGGAGTCCCCCACCTCCGTTCACGGAGAAAACAAGAAAAAGACGCGAAGAAGAGGAACAATACAGGAAAAAACGACTGGTAAAGACTTTCTTGATTATCTCCCCTGTACCGTCCACTCTCATAGTTGGAGGACAAAAGTTTTGTAGTTTTGTTTAGGATATTCTAAAGGCTTGATAATGAATTGAAAGTTTAAACTGTTCACAGAATTCGTTGAAAATATTAATTGATCAAATATTTTTCTCTTCAGGAACAAATTTATGAAGAGGAAAGAAAGCGAAAAATAAAGCAGGAAGAAGCTAACCTCGAGGCTCGTAAACACTCAGATTTTTACCTGTAAGTACCATAGCTTCAAAACGTTTGTGTGAGTAAGTGTCTGTCTGTATTAATGTCTTTGTCTCAAATGTATTATACCATATAGCTTCAAAACGTTGATGTGACTTGGTGTCAGCTGTCACAATTGTCTAAATCATATTTCCCCAACTTTCATATTTTCAAAAGACTTTTAAAGCAAAATACTTAGATAGTTTTGCAAGTCTTTGTCTATCCTTTGTTTCTTACCAAAAAAAATGCTTTCTTTGTGAAATACAATGTTAAAGGTAATTATTAATTAAGTAATTGGGAGGTCGGGTGGCACAGTGGATAGCGCACTTGCCTTTCACCAAGGCGGCCGGGGTTTGATTCCTCGATCGGATGTGAAAAGGTATGGGGCCACCTGCCCGACCACTTGGGTTTTCTCCAGGTACTCCGGTTTCCTCCCACAGTCAGATCCCCCATGCACTAACATTCGGGCCAACAAGAGTGATTAGTATAAGCTGTAAAAACTTGTTTCATAATTGTTGTAAAACAAATAAAGTTTTAAAGGTTATTATTATCATATTTTCCTCAATAAAAAACAATTTTTCTTTCACATGTGCTATCCTATTATAAAAAGAACTAAATGAGAAATCAAGAAACATATGTAGATTAATGGTATTGAACCATTCCAGTGAATAGTTTTAAATTCTGTGAAAACAAATTTTTGTTCAATCTGAAACTCTCTGTATTAAGATTAAAAAATCATAGTCATAGTGACGTTTGAATTGAACAGGTTTTGACATTATAAAGAATCTCGGCAAGATATTGGTGAATGTCTCTTTTTCACTATGATCAGTGTTACAAAGCCTGTTAGAACTTTAAAAACCCTTGCAATAGATCAATAAATTGACTGATGGTACTCAAAAAATCGGCTAATAAAACTCAATCAGTACCTCAACCTGATGCTAGATGCTGTACACACGGGGATGCAAAGACACACATTTTAAAGAGCCAAAAAAGTCGTTACGACACCTGACATTTCATGTCCTAGCCCACATAAACCTAATTGGCTATAAAAACATGCGGGATAGGAAACATTAGGGAGGATCTTAATTACGTTCGCCGGACGGAAGTGATGCACAGCGTCATCTAGTGATCAGGTTCTGTAGGATATCTGACGCTTGCCGAAGAATCTCCCGGAGTAATGGATCGGTTACCGGATGAAGTTGTCGCACAATGTTGTTATAAGCTGGCGTACTGACATTTCCATAAATGCACTTTTTCTCTGGTTCACTTTGTCACCGATTCAAGTTTCTCGTTCCGTGATGTACTGGTAGCAGACCACGGGTCATGAGATAATAATGAGCCTTTAGCTCAGGAGATAAAAAACGGCTAGAGGTAGGATGTAGGTAGAGGACGAATGATTGACAGTTTTTTGGTGTTTTTTAAATCTTGTGTAAAATCTAGGCAACAGAAGCATCTGTCATATTTTTTTTATATGCAAACAGCGATAAAACTTAGTCTGCCAAATTTTCTCTCTCAATTTTTTTTTTAAAAGAAATCTTGCCTAGTGTTGTGTACAAACATTCATTTATCCCTATAGAGCACAAAAGTAAAAAATCTGACATGTGTCAAATTTTTAGTTTAACGATATAAAATGATCACAAAAATTTAGGCCTTTTTTTTCCATTCCATAATATGATTAGGATGATATAAACCATGATATGATTAGGATGATATAAACCATAATATGATTAGGATGATATAAACCATGATATGATTAGGATGATATAAACCATAATATGATTAGGATGATATAAACCATGATATGATTAGGATGATATAAACCATAATATGATTAGGATGATATAAACCATGATATGATTAGGATGATATAAACCATAATATGATTAGGATGATATAAACCATGATATGATTAGGATGATATAAACCATAATATGATTAGGATGATATAAACCATGATATGATTAGGATGATATAAACCATAATATGATTAGGATGATATAAACCATGATACGATTAGGATGATATAAACCATAATATGATTAGGATGATACAAAATAAACTGTATGTTAGACAAATTTGTTGCATGCATGATACAATTTATTTTTGATTTCTCCCCCCAATAAGCCAGAAAAATTATTTTATTTGTCTTATTTGTTATTTGTTTGTGTTAATTTTGATGTTTGTTATGTCAGATGTGTGTGTTCCATGTTCTTTTTGAATATTTTAGGATACTATTATTTCATATTATATGTGTATTCTTGCAAACAATAGATTGTATTTGACTTGCGGTGTGAAACATTTGTAGATTTCTTTGTAATTTTTAAAATTGTTTAGTGTACTTCAACATATAATCTATTGAGATGGATATTTATTACACAGAATTACATTTGCCTATAGGAAATTAAGTTCCTCCTGTTTAGAAAAAATTATAAGCAAGATAAAGAAAAAGGGATTAATTTTTTTACTGGGGACGAGTCCTCTCCAGTGAAGGCCATATATAAGCCAGGGGCAATCATACCCTCACCTAATCCCCCCAACCCCACCCCGACCCCCTGAATGATGAANCCCCGAGAAAATAATAAGGGATTGTTAAACCCCCCCAAATACCCAAATACAAAAAGACAAAATAAGCTTCTTGTCATCATTTCTCCTTCCTTTCCACCCTGCACTGTTCCCATGCCCCCCTACCCCCACTCAACGCCACCTCTCCCCTAGGAATTAGACACGACTTGTAGTCAAAACCTATTACTGTAATTGAAAGTCTCAGGAGCAAAATTTGATCAATTTTATTAGCAGAAATATTTATATTATATAAATGAGGTAGGTTTTTGTTTTCAAAACAAACACTGGAAACAAAATAGCAGAATGATGAACCAAGAAATAGATGTATTGAAATGGTGCGTGTGTCACGTTTGAGATTGTAGTGTAGTACTTTGAAAGCGGGTGTCGGCACAATGACATGAAATTGTTTATTGCACAAGTAACCATGACTGTTCATGACATTGTCGTTCTCAAACTTATCGATTTTAATGTTGTACTCGTGTGATTAAAAAAGATGTATTTTCAGTCTTACACAATGTCTAATATACTCTCATACTTGTCTGTAAATATTGTGACATAAGTACTACTGACATTTTTATTAGAGGTATATATAACTATATAATTTGAAGTGTAACGAAATTAGAAATCCCCAGTAACTGTTGATTTTAAGAACGTGATCACGTTTAGATAATCCCATATTTAGATTGACACAAAATGTATATCAATGACCTAACACATTGAGATTACATACACTACATAGAATTGATGTATGGATAATTCATTTAGTTGCATCCGTCCACTGATGGAGCTGCCCCACTTACCCCCTAAATTTCCCCCCTAAAACTTACCCCCGTACTTGTTGATGACACCTGCGTTTGTCCGATACAGCTCCAGCAGTAGTTTAAGTCCAGCGGAAAGAGACGGAGAGTAAGTATGGACTGTCACTAACCCCAAACTAACACCCTAACATGGCCATGTCACCTAACAGGCCAAGTCACTGCTGGGTACCAAGACTACTGGTTACTTTAAATAGTCAACACCACCCATGTAACTAAGGAAGCCAACATTGGCAGGATAAATAGGAAAATCCAACGTTTGCTTGATAATTAAGGAAAGGAACATTGGCTGAGAAACTGAGAAACAAAGATGGCAGGGTAACTAAGGAAACCAAAATTAGTTGAGTAGCTAAGGAAACCAATATTGGTTTGGTAACTTAAGAAACCAACATTAGTTTGGTAACTTAGGAAACCTATATTTGCTTGGTAACTAAGGAAACCAATATTGGTTCGGTAACTTAGGAAACCAATGTTCACCTGGTAACTAAGGAAACCAATTTTGACTTGGTAACTAAGGAAACCAATGTTGACTTGGTAACTAAGGAAACCAACATTGACTTGGTAACTTAGGAAACCACCATTTACTTGGTAACTTAGGAAACCAATATTGGAAGCAGTTATGGCTAGTAATTTAGAAACCAACATTGGCAGGGTAACTTTGGAAGCAATTATGTCCAGTGATTTAGAAACAAACATTTATATTGGCAGGGTAACTAAGGAGGCCAGGTAACCTAGGAAATGGACTGTTACCAAGGAAACAATACTGACATACTCTACTTAGAAACATTCTTTTACAGAAAAATCACTAGTATGGAAACCAAATCTGCCTATATTCACTGATAACGCTTCATAGCAGTGTTGACACTCAACACAGGTGTAGATATGCAAAATGTCAGTGATCTGACAATGACATTTGTCAACCTCTCAGTTCAATGACAGAAAGTTCTTTTTGAGAAGTTAACAAATGGCTAACTGTTAAGTGTAGTTATAATTAAATCATTTTTCTGAGCATGGTGTAGGCATGTAACATCACCGTTTTGTTTTTGTTCATTGTTTCCCGTTATTGCACATTTCTAACAGTTTTATAATAATTTGTGACAATGTTGAGTAATTATTTACAAAGGGAATTTTTCCTCTCTTCATCCTGTTTTTATTTTGGTCAAGTTTGACCTGTGACTTAATACAATAAGTTGCTCTGACATAAAAAAAACTTGCTGTAATAATTTATGAAAACTAATATGGTATTTTTTAAGTATTTCTGCAATGTCAACAAACGATGGTGTCAATAAATTTGTTTTACCTATACTTTCGGAAGATGGAATTTAAGAAACTGTTTACCTATCAAAGTTAAATTTGGATTCATTGTGTGAATTCATACTTGCCAATTTTCCCTATTTAGGATGGAAACTCAGGATTTTGGACCCTTACATTTTTAGTATTTTAAACCAGTGGATTTGCTAAACCGATTTCATCTGAAAGAACAACACGAAATATGTCGTTATTTTGTCACTAGGGAGTATATACATAAATTGTTTTAGGTTTTAATTTTGAAAAGGCAGAATTAAATCTCCCCCTTGGATGTGAATTGTATTTTTGGCTGATAATACCTCTCATCTGATCATAGTGTTAATTCAGAGCTCAGTGATAACAAATTTCAAACCATTTTTTTATGACAATACAATGATTTATTACTATTTGCCGAAGCCTTTTCAATTGGAAAATCTTTTTAGGTGAATAATGTGGCATGGTTTTGTTACAGAGTTATTTAATATTTCTATTTCATTTTGATTTGTTGATTGTTTTCTTCTATAAATCAGAAATAAGTACATGTATGTGCATATACATATTTGAACCCCTGCTAACCCGATAGACAGGAATTATATAACAGTTGATCAAATTTAAGTAAAGCGCATGTATGTTTTGATTGCAGTAATTTGCGTACATATATATCTACCGTCTGTATGAAATGTGTATATGTACATACGTATATATAATTACTCATAGATTGTTAATTGGTTAAAAGATGTTTGTAAGAGTCATACATGTGGGTGTATTTTTGGGGTTTTTTGGCAACACAACCAGGGAAGCAACGAGACTTAAACAATATCAACATTATACTACGATATCTCAACTGTTTGACTTAAGGATCCCGATCAGTACCACTGCAAAAATGTGTACCTTCACATTGGAATCTGTTTTTACAGCCTGAGACCATTATAAATTTTGATAAAATGTTTCTTTAAAGAGAAACCATACCTTGCAGGATTTTTATGAAAAAAATTATAAAAGTAAAAAATTAAATATATATATAATCAATAACAGTTTTCNGGGGAGGGGCTAGACCAGGATTTGAACCCTGGACCTCAGAAATGTTTTACATGTACTGTCATTCTTCCATAACAAAATTAACGAACGTTAGGAGGAGGAGGAGGAGGTTGTATAAACAAAAAAACGAGAGTACAGTGGGACAGGGATCCTTAAATGTCAAGAGTCAGTCTGTTAATTTGATAACCACATCCATTCCAGCGATTATCAGCTTCAAAGACCATTCAACCAAAGTCATATAATCATGTTTTTCATGCTGCATGTATGCATATAGAGACATGTATGCTGAAAGTTTGCAGTAATGTGTATGATGTATGCAGATAAAGCCATGTATGCTGAAAGTTTGCTGTAATGTGTATGATGTATGCAGATAAAACCATGTATGCTGAATATATGCTGCAATGTGTATGATGTATGGAAATATTGTATGCTGAAAGTTTGCAGTAATGTGTATGAATGTAGCTAGGTAGAGGCATGTATGCTGTATGCAAATCAAAACCTGTATGTATGTATGTTGTCAGCATGTCATGAAATGAAGATGAATTAAAATGAAAAATAAATTCAAGCTTGTGCTCAAAGCAATATAGAATACTGTATTGAGTGTGAGTTGTTTTAGTACAGACTTGTGTTTACATAAATCTGATTATCATATTTATTAATATATATCATACATTTCTATGTAAGCATGGTTATCAGTAATTTGATCATACTGCCAGATTATTGTTTAACCTGATTGAGTTACATAACATATCATTTTCTGTGAGGAATTCCTCTAGATAGCTACAAGAAAACAATATAATTTTTCAACAATATGTTTATTTATTTTTTATGATTTTTTCAATTTATTGTTGTCCTTGAACATACAAAATATTATTTCTATCTTAACTGATAATCACTTCATTATCGTGCATATTTTTTCTGTGATTATGAAGTAAACATCTTAATCATATGGGATCTATAATGATAAAGTAATTGTTTAATTGTCTTAGAATTAGCATTCTAAGATATGGAGATGAATTAATAATCATGAGATTACTATTCATGAGATATTATCGGTGATGAATTAATATTCATGAGGCAGGGTGATGATTAATATTCATGAGTTAAGGTCCTTATTTTGTCATAGCTGTGATTAAAAGAATCTGGTGACCTTTTGTTGACGAGAAAATAACTCATAAAGTTAAAACCATCCTCAACTCTAATAGTATTTCACTGATTTTATACCATTAGATGGTCACAGGCTTTCATGAACCAGTGTAAGTAATTCTGGTGTAATTAGTGTATAGTTAGAGTGTAATGATTCCGTTTGACTTACAGACCTAGTCAGAAGTCGCCCATCCCAGCAGACCGGTTTGAGGATGGCGTGGGGGACTACGGGGCACCCGACGAACGACGCAGGGGATTCCAAATCCAGGGCAAGGCGAAGGCGCTCTACAACTTCTCGTCTCAAAATCCAAGGTATATAACATACATCAGTCGTCAAAGCCAATTTGGGGTTCATCTCGCTTTCTTCGAAGCGGTACGGTTATAGCTTCAGATCAACAGACTGAAGTCTACAGTTGAGATGCACATACAGTTTTACTAAATATTACCAAAAAGATAGAGACAAAATTTAAAATTTTGAGTATAAGCAGAATGTTGGTTATGTATTTGCGACTATAGAGGAGTAATAATTTTACATAAATTTTTTCAATTTTTTGTAGAGAGCTTGGCTTTAGGAAGGGTGACGTAGTATACCTGATTCGGCAGATCGACAAACACTGGTTTGAGGGAGAACGCCATGGAAGGAGGGGCATATTCCCCATCAATTATGTTGAGGTATATTTTCTTACTATCACCATGCATCAACCCTGTTTCAAAATCTGACAAGCAAGCCAAAGGATTCTATCAAGCAGGTCATGACCTTTAACCCATGCCTTTTTCACAGTTTGTGACCTCTGAACCGTCCTCTCTATTCCATATATCATGACCTCTATACCATTTATCTCACAGGTTTTGACCTTTAACCCTTGCCTCTTTCACAGGTCGTGACCTCTATAGAGGATGCCAATGCCGCTGCCCAGCAGGCAGAAGGACATGGCGTTGCCAAGTTTAACTTCAGCGGACAAACTAATGTGGAACTCAACATCCGGAAGGTAGGGGTTGCCACTGCACTGAAATTAAGTTTTATCACAGAAATAAAGAAATTAAAAAAACGTAATTGATAATCCGAGAAGTTTCTAAAATTGATTTTTGAGAAAAAATACTTTGTCTTTGAATTTATGATTCATTACTTCCTATGAAATATTTAAACTGACATCTTGATATTTCACTAAACATATTTGATATACTGCAATGATAACTTTGGGCGACGTGGTATGCAGAAGGTATTCACCCCTGAAGACACATTTAAACTCTTCCAAGTCAATGGTTGGTATAGTTCAGTATGAAATTTCAGGGGTGAATGAGTTAACATAATCTGCAATCAGCCCATACCAGGATCATAGTTGATAACACTTGCAACCAATCAAATCCGTTTGTCTGTTACGACCATCAAGTTATATCATTTAATTAGGAGGCACGGTAGTCTTGTGGTAGGACGCCGGGCTCGTGACCGAAGGGTTGCGGGTTCAAGTCATGGCATGGCACTGTGTTGTATCTTTGAGCAAGATACTTTACTCTGCTTGTTCCAGTCTACTCAGCTGTAAATTAGTACTTGGTTGGGCAGTGCTAGGATTGTTGAATGCTAGCTGTGAGTGCCGAAATGACAGCACCGGCTGTATGCTCCCCAGGGAGTTGAGAAAGATATTGGCTGGTTGCAAAGTCCCTATAACCACGGATAAAAATTTGTGAACCGCTTTGAGACGAACTACGGACTAGGTTGTGATAAAGCGGTATATAAGAACCTCAAACTATTATTATTATTAATTGTACAGGGAGACCACATCACTCTCTTGCGGCGCGTTGACGACAACTGGTTTGAGGGGCGAATGGGCCAGAAACAGGGCATCTTCCCAGTACAGTATGTGGAGGTGAAGCAGGAACCATCTACCCCTCTGGTCACCCCCGCTCCCTCAGTCATCGCCACCCCTATGACCGGTAGGGGTATGTAGTACATACTTTTTTGTTTGTTTCTGTTTTGGTTGTATTTCGCAAATTTGTTTTGGTTCACAAGAACTATTTTAAACTAATTTATGAATGTAGGCTTAAAAATTCCTGAAAAGCTATTGTTCCATGAATTTCGTTTACAAGTGGATAAAAATGTGGTAAATAAAATAATTATAACAAGAAATATTGACATTGGGTCAGTATTTAAGTTTCATATCCAACTTGTCAAAACTATTCAAATGTTCGTATTTCCTGCTTTATCCAGAATATTCGATACGTGTATTTTGTGATATTTTTAGATAACTGATTATTTTATACTTTCTTGAACTGTGGACATGGATGTGAATCTCAATTGTTGATCTTATATGCAAGGGAAAGTACTCATGCATTGACTTAACCAACATTTACTTCCCTTTTTGAGAACTCTTCTCAAGAAGTGAGGGTTGTTGGGAAGTGTGGACAAAATTTGAGGGAATATGGAATTGGTGTTTGTGAGAATTTTCAAAGTTTATTAATAACATCAATAACATTACAGGTTTTATGACAGATAGATTTTCGTGAACAACTTTTGCATGTAATTTGATAAATTCTCCTTCAGGAACGCCAGAGCTGCTGTCCCCCACGAGTATAGATGTGCCGACGCCCCCTCCTCAGCCTTCTCCTGGGGCGTTCTCCCCAAAGTCCTCCTCCATGTCACACTACCCCTACTCACCCAAGCCGTTCTCTCATAGTCTCAGTCACTCCTCACCGAAGCTTGACGGAGGGATGAACCCCTCTCAATTTAACAGCCTGCCCACGGGGCTCAACACGGTCCCGGGGGCACAAACTAATGGTCACCATGAGTCCTTCCAAAATGTGGGACTCTCAGCCTCTTTTTCACCATCAAAATCCTCCAGCGCCATTGACAACAACCTTGACTACCGGCCCAAGGTCACAGATGATGACCTTGCCATCAGTAGGTAAGTATCTTTCAATCGTAGACCCGAGGAAGTAATATACCGAAATATTTATTAATCTGCTAGTATTGTTTTTATATTCACAAATTTCCACAAATACCAGTTTTTGACATCATTCTTTTACAACAGTACCAGATGTTTCACAATTCAAATAACACTTTCTTAAGCATTTGAATTTTCAAAAGGAATATCTAACGTTTTGTGTTTCTTGTTTTATTTTGTCAGAAGAAATATTCAGGAGATATTTGAAATCGCCACCTCTGTTTGTGCAAGTAAATACTACAATAAATATTTTGCTAAATATAAGGCGGTTACATTATGAGTTTGAAGTAGATTTATTGTGAGCATGCTTATTGTGAGCTACTTAATACTTATACTTAATGAATGAAGGTTGTCATCTGACAAGGACTTAATTCATATGCACAAAATCCTTTTTAAACAAATTAAAGCTACATTGAACCAACGTCTTTGGTCTCCTGTTTTGAGAAACCTATAAACATGGAGCATAGCCTCACTCTTTTTCTCCCATCCTGTCAGTAATGGTTCCATGGAAACATGGAAATCAGCGTTTGATTTCTATTTTCTTTCCTGATTTGAAACCTTGATCATGATGTCAGATTTTAATGTCACCTTTTCGTCTAGTTCTTTCATTTTTTTGACATCATGTTATTGTGCTTTCTGTCATTCTGAAGGGGAAGGGGACAGAAATCTGTAACTCATTTACCCCTAAAATCACAGTTAAACCCTACCAAATCAAAGACAGAGCAAGACCAGTTTAGCAGTGTAGGGTTGACCTGGTTAGCGGGTAAAAGAGGAGACAGTTTCTGTGCATGTTGGGAGAATTGTCATTTGAACACCTGTAACTAATTACTCCTGTTTCATATTTTAGAATAACCCCACACAAACAATTGAGATATATGTATATCGATGTATTGCTTTTGTTGACAGTTACAAAGCGCTGTATGCTTACAAGCCCCAGAATGACGATGAACTGGAATTATGGGAAGGCGACCAGGTATATGTGATGGAGAAGTGTGATGACGGCTGGTTTGTCGGAACGTCAATCCGGACAGGCATGTTTGGTACCTTCCCCGGAAATTATGTGCAGAGAGTACAATGTAAGGGCCAGGAAAGGGATTCTGTCTGTATATACAGCTTCGGGAGTTTACGCTTCAAATATTTATATTATAATATATCTATAATTTCTTAAAATTTATATTAAACAATTATTAAATTATTAAGTCCAGTGTAGAGGAACTCTATCATATTTGAAAGTAACTTTAAATTCAACTTTAACTTGAATATGGAACATTTTTATCTGTTTAATGGTTTAATCTGTTGTTTCATAGAACTTCTCTGTGATAACTTGCTCATGTTCCCATGTAGTTTAACTTTGGGGTTTTATTTCTTAATACTTCAAATATTTAAAGATGGCTGGGGTGGGGTTTTTTTGGTTTTTGTTTAACTCATTCACCCCTAAAGACACATTTGAACTCTTCCAATTCAAAGATTGGAATAGTTCATTATGAAATGTCAGGGGTGAATGAGTTGAAGCTTTATCCAATTACATACAGACTGTTTCCAATATTGATTTTGAGTCAATTACTTTAAGTTAAAAATTTGTCTTTTTTCAGGATGAACACATATGGTTGCATAAATGAGGGACTGGTTTTGTTTCGTTGTGTGAAAGGACACATAATTGGTGAACAGTTTGATCCCAGCCAATCGGGCATCTAACGCATACCAAGGGGAGGTAATCAAGGACAGCCACCCACGTTCCGTGTGGGGTTGTGCTAGTGCTATTGGAAGGAGAATGCGGAGTGGAGCAGCCATGTGGTTGTACAGACAATTCACCAGTGACGACCAGTGATGCTGACTGCGCGTAACGTGGATGTACAAAGGAATGTCTCAAAGACTGACGCAGGAAAATGTGCATACACGCGTGTGTTGTGAACATGTGTACACCTGTATTGTGGACATATGTGTACACATTTGTGTTGTAGTTCACCTACATCTATTTATTCTCAACAGGAGTATTATCTGTGTCTGCGGCACACGTTTCGTGGAACGTCGTGGCGCTTTCGTTGTTTTGTCAGGGTCGTGACCTTTAATCAAACCAAATTTTATCTTTGTTGCTTTTTGTGTGAATGACAACATTCGTTACCATAGTAACTGATTTCACCAAGACTTATCATTATGCTGCTGTTTGAGCTCATCAATATATATATATCGGCCGTGTCACCTCGAAATTCAACGTCTCCATATACATTTGTTGCAGATCAAAGCGAAGACAGTAACGTAATGAAGTCAACAATTTCTTTAAGCTTCGGTTCCTTCTAAAGTTTACACATTTCATCAACAACTGGTTTTCAAATTGCAAGCGGAGAGATTAAGGATAAATTACGTCTGTAAATTTTCTTATCTTATTTTGATGTCCAAATATTTTACCAAAATTTGAGCGTGTATTGGTAGGGTAGTAGTGGGAATTATTAGACTTCGAAAAGCATAGATACTGATCATGAATTAAATATTTTAAAGATAAGCTATCGTTGAGCGCTATTTCTTCTGCTCAAAGCTATTTTACGTACCCAATGCACGACAAAAATTCTAAAAATCTAGTAATCAAACTCACCTTGGTTTTCCAGAAAGAGATTATTTGAAGAACAATTATATTGAATGATGTTTATAATTCAATGAATCCATCAACACAGCCAGTATGAGATTACCTGAAATGGAGATTTCTTTAAATGTAACTTCTAAATATATTCTGCTCTTTTTCTGATGGGGTTTTTTTCCGCATCATGAATAGAAAATGTTAATTCGGTCATAAAGGATCTTTGTAATGTTAGTTTCTGTGGCTATTTCAGTTTTGCGGTTGTGTGGTTCTGAGTCGGGTTTCACTGTATAAGATAAATGAGGTGTGAGTTTTTGATTAGGAAGAAAATGTTTTCAAAAAAATCGTTTGATGCCAATGTGATGCAATAGATAGATTTAACTTAGTCCATGAAAATCAGTATTTAGAGTTTGGTTGCATAACTGTCATTAAGATAATGATAACACGTTTATCATACTTTGTTGCTATCCTGGATGTTGTCCACAGAACGTGTATTGAATTCAGACTGCTAATGTATTGCTGATGTTATGGGTTTTCTCTGCTGTTTAAGTGTTTATGTATTCGTGTTGTATCGTATGTTAAACTTTATATATATTAACGTCGCAGAGTTTTAACTGTATTAGAATTTCAACGATTAATATATATTGCAGGAATTATGAAACAGAATTGTTCTTTTTTGATCTGAAATACTTATTTTCTCTTCGAGAAAAAAAAAAGGAATAAAATCTTCGTTTGTACATAATTGACACGGGGAGATAACTCTGTAATGCCAATTTCTATGGATACACAGAAAGTCAAACTAGTAATTGAAATGTTTGATTCACTTGGAAGGTTCATGTGAAAAGTGCCATAGAAAGTCTTAGGATGACTAAATTTCAAGGGTTTTTTTAAAAAGAGAAGAAACGGTTTGATTTTTTTTTTATCCTAACTATGCAATGTGAATGTCCTTTTGTAAGCATCTAACAATCTTTTACTTAGTTGTGAAGCATTTATTGACCAAGTCTTGTATACTTGTCATAGGTCAAGTCAAGGTCATAACTTTGTCATCGAGCAAGGTCAAATGATAAGTGAGAAAAATGAAAATGAGTGAATAAGAAAGAGAGATAGGAGAATATTGTTTATTATATTATATATATAATATTTATATATTACATGTGTAAACCGGTAACTTTGTATTTGTGGCTATTTCTGATAGCTGGGGCTTACTTCTCTAGCTAGCCATGTTGCATTTTATACCATACTTACAAATCCAGTCAACCTTCTACAACGAAGCTAGTTTAGACATTGACATCGGAGGGACTGTTCTTTCTAACTGTCTGTCATCACCATGGAAACGAAATATTTTAAATAACCTGTAATCAGGAATAACAGCACTTTTTTTTTTTTTTTTTTTTTTTTTTGCTGAAGTTGTCTTGCCAGTTTCCCGTGGATACTTTGGGTGTTTACATTTTGATCATTTTGTTTACTGTTTCATTTTCATAAGTTTGTTCAGTAGAACATTTTCTCCTGTAGTAAACATAAAGGAACAGCTAGCTGAAATATTTGTTCTCTTAAATCTTAAATCGCACATAGTTTTTATCATTGATAGGACCATTTACTTGCAAAGTATCTTGATACTACACAAAGCTCTCCCATGCTTTAGTAGCAAGCCTTTATTTTGCGTTATTTTAGAAACACAATTTTTAACGAGCACTTCTGTGTCTGAAGCCCTTTCATTACCATATGTTATGCTTGTTTCGATGTTTTGACGAGTTTTTAATGTTTGTTGAATATTTTCTGTACGGTTAAGTGCATGGTTCAACCTTGAACATTTTGGACAATTTGGCCGAAACTCAGACAACAGATGTGGGCATGACGCATAACGAAGAAGAAAGCTCAATCCTAAAAGTGCAAAAAAAAGAATATTTTTGAAAGTTTTGTGGGGGTCAAGATTTAAGCATAAAGTTTGAGGCCATCTTTGGGCGTTATTTTGAAGGTGTGTGATTGGCGGTTTCTATTAGTACGAGTTTAGTAGCTAGTATTAATGCTCTCTGTGTTTGCTACAGATATTCTTAACAATATACAGTTATTGTCTACTTTTGTCTACATTGTGTGAATACATTTTTAAAATATGCATGGAACTAATAAAAAAAAGTTGTAAAGTGATATTTTTGTGAAGTAAAACAAAAGATTTATATTTATGCAGTCTGGTTTACAGAATTAACAGCCAGATTTGTTGAAAAAGGAAATTATCTTAGAATTTGTTTTGTATTTTTATTGAAAAAAAATTCTTCCTGCAAGCTTGACCCTCGTGTACATGTAGATATAACCCATGTTATTTATTTGTGATATTTCAAGGTCAACAGATGGTAGTGAAGTAACGCGTGACTGGACAGCCTCACTCTCGTAATTATAAGTCTCTTCGGTGGGTAGATTAAAGCCATCTACATAACAAACATGACTTTGTTGTTTTTTCCTGGTCTTACTTAAAAAGAGTTTTGATCGATATTGGAAGCTCTTGTAAGGCCATCCATTTTAGCCCCACATCATCTGATGGTGGGCTATTCAAATCACCCTGCGTCCGTGGTCCGTCGTCCGTCCGTCGTCCGTCCGTAAACAATTCTTTGTTATCGGTATTTCTCAAGAAGTACCAGAGGGATCTTTCTCAAATTTCATATGCAGGTTCCCCTTGGTCCTTAGCTGTGCAGGGCAACTGTTGAGACTGATCGGATAAACAACATGGCCGACAGGTAGCCATCTTGGATTTTGATATTGAAAGTTTGTTATCGCCATTTCTCGGGAAGTATCAGAGGGATCTTTCTCAAATTTTTATGTAGGTTCCCCTTGGTCCTGAGTTGTGCAGGGCAATTTTTGAGACTGTTCGGATAAACAACATGGCCGACAGGCAGCCATCTTGGATTTTGATAGTGAACGTTTGTTATCTCTATTTCTCGAGAAGTATCCAAGGGATCTTTCTCCAATTTTATATGTAGGTTCTCCTTGGTCCTTAGCTGTGTAGGGCAATTTTTTTGAGACTGATCGGAGAAACAACATGGCCGACAGGTAGCCATCTTGGATTTTGATAGTGAACGTTTGTTATCGCTATTTCTCGAGAAGTATCCAAGGGATCTTTCTCCAATTTTCTATGTAGGTTCCCCTTGGTCCTGAGCTGTGCAGGGCAACTTTTGAGACTGATCGGATAAAAAACATGGCCGACAGGCAGCCATCTTGGATTTTGATATTGAAAGTTTGTTATCGGTATTTCTCTGGAAGTATCAAAGGGATCTTTCTCAAATTTTATATGTATGTTCCCCTTGGTCCTTAGCTGTGCAGGGCAACTTTTGAGACTGATCGGATAAACAACATGGCCGACAGGCAGCCATCTTGGATTTTGATATTGAAAGTTTGTTATCGCTATTTCTCNNNATAAGTTTAGATCAAAAGTTACCTCAAGGTGCATTTACTGTTAACATGACTCGATCAAACAGATTAGAGGAAAGAAGAGAAAAGATCGAACTGACAAAGAACTAATGAAGATGGTACAAAGGTGGGCGCCAAGATCCCTCTGGGATCTCTTGTAGTGATTACATATTTCTAGGGGTGAAGGTCAAATTATTTATATCCAAGTTTATTTTGTGGTAGAAAAAATTGGGTATATATACATATATCTATCGTCTTCAATAATTATTCCTGAGGTACTTGAATTCAACTTCTACTTCATTTTAACAAATTTGTTTCAAATGTTACTGTCATTTGGACTGAATAACAGACAAGCCAATCTAAATGCTTTCCTTGTGTGGCCAATATCATTTTGAATTAAACAATATTGAAATAAGTTGATATAGAAATTACATTAAAATAAATTCATTTGAAAACAATCTGATTAAAATCATATGTTGCATGGCTTCGTTAACTTCCTACTACGCCTGAACATCTGAGTGTGCCGCGGTCAGGGTCACGGTCAGGTGACCTTTATATTTATAAATACTCATTAAATTTTTGACCAATCAAAGACCCTCTTTCAAAAGGGCGCTCAGAGTTGTAATAAATATGGCGGACATTGATGAGAATGATGCAAAAGTTATTTGAGATTGAATAATCTGAAACCCGAACAGAAAAAGACATTCGAAGCTTTAGTAGAGAAGAAAGACTGTATGGCGGTGTTGCCTACGCAATTATTTCCCAATTGGTACGTTTTCCTTGGCGTCGTAGAAACGTCAGTTCCCGCCGCCATATTTGTTTTGAAAAACTAATCTGTTTGATACCCCTCGCTATTTATCTATCAACCATGATATTCCGATTCGCTGGCAAACTTTTGCCAGTGCCCCTCTGATTGGTTCATCTTAAGGTCACTTGAACGTGACCCTGACCGCGGCACATTCAGATGTTCAGGCGGAGCCATGTAACAGCTGATTTTAATCAGATTGATTTGAAAATATACAAATATTGAACAAGGGAGGTAACTACCAAAGATTAAACCCAGCAGTGAGATTCATGTTAATTAACACACCACAAAGTATCTATGAGTCAAACATTTGGAACAATCTTATATATAATGTAATAAACATTTTTGTCCTGCAGTCTGAATACTAAACCTAAAGTGCACATGCGTAAATTAATGGTTTATCTAAGACAACCTACACAGTTAGAATATATTAACCTTTTCATCCCTATATAAATTCTGTAGACTCTGGATGAATCCATTATGGTTTATAGTGGTGAAAGGGTTAAATTCAAATTAGCGATAAGTCAGTATTGAAGAAATGTACAAAGTGTACTGTCAAAACTGTAAAAGCTCTATTTCACTTGCAATTTGATACAAAAGACATATCTTGAAAACATATTTTCAACTGATAGCTTGTGATATACAAATTCACCATGGGAGACAAATTAATGATAGAAATAATTTAATATCATGCTTTACATTTTTCATCAGAATATGGTTGGTTTATGCTGAGACCAACAAGAAATTCAAACCATAGATTTAGATGTTATTATCCCTCTAAAATGCATGCCTCCATTATTATCTCCTCACAACGAAAGTTCGAGGGGATATAGGATACCACCCGTACGTATGTTACACTCTCTGTCATCGCTCTAGTGACAAAGTCCTCAACGTTTTTTATGAAACTTTGTACAAGTGTTTGGTATGGCAATGCCTTGAACAAGTCCCGCTTCGGATTTCTACGCTGAATGTCAAGGTCACTGTTACTATTTTTAGAAAAAATACTTCGCTCTAGCGACTTCATTTTCTCTTATATATGTCACAGTGTGTGAATTTGAGGGGATTTGTATCACTTGTGATTCCTAGCTTGTGTCAGTCTGGAGTTAACCAGAATTGTAGTTTCACAAGGTACAAAATTTCATGAATTTTGATGCATTTTAGTAACTACACAGTATCATATACCTATTTTTTTATGATCCCGTTTCAAACGACCTATATACATGTGACCAGTAGCTCTTTGGCCATTCACAACACTGACAATCTTGATGGCTTATTAATACAATAATAAATACGTTCAATTTACTCTTAAGATGTATATATGTACTTTTAAGATACTTTAAGATACAAACTTTATTTTACAAACATTAATGTGGGAGGAAACAGGAGTGCCAGGACAAAACCCCACGTCGCTGGGCCTGTGAGCGTGCCACTTATCATTTTCATGATCGGGGATTTACTTTCCCATAAACAACTCGCACGCTGACAGAGGTATTGGACCTCCGAATATAGCCAAATCCACAAAGTATAAACTAATAATAATCCCTGTAACACGAATTACTGAATATGCCAGGAAAGTTTTAAATTGTCTAAAGAATCAGATATTCGCTAAGAGTTTTGTTTTACAAAGTTTCTAAAATCTTTGTATCGATCTCTACCAAATACAGAAGGTATGTGATAAAAGCAAGACCACACACTTGTGTTTTTCTAATGAATCAGAAAGCACAAGTTTATTGCGCGGACGGATATATTCACGAGTGGGCGGAATGTATTCAGCATTGATTATCTCGACAATTTACAGGAACTCCTGTATGACAAGTTGAATTCAAGTTAACTTTGACTATAATATTAATCAGAAGACACCTTGTATGTTGTGCTTTCAAGGGTTTATCAGGGGTCATTAGAAACAGACTTGGATGAAGTCGGGGGGAAAACATCGACATAGGAACCATTTTAGGGAATTCGCATGATCAACATAACAAGTCATTAATGCATTAAAAGTAGACTGTTTTACATTTATATAAGCCTATTTGTATTCATGTTTTTTAGCTTTTGACCCAGTTAAATACTTAGAAGTGGCAAATTAGGAAAAATGATACTTTTTAGCTCACCTCATCTGAAGGACCATGGTGAGCTAATGCCATACTGCAGCGTCCGTCGTCCGTCTGTCCGCCAGCTTTTCCTTTAAAATGCTACACGTCCTCAACAGCACAGTAGATTTTGACTAAATTTGGTTTGGAGCTTCCTTAGGCCTAGGGCACTCAGTTTTGTACAAACGGTGGGCAGAGAAGCGGGGCCCAATATGGGAAATAGAGGTAAAACCTATAAAATCCTTATTCTGCTGTAAGGATAAAGGGATTTTATCCTTATTCAGTCTGGAGCATACTTGGGCCAAGGGGACTCAATTTTGCATAAACGGTGGGTGTGGCCCCCCTGCGGGCAGAGGGATGGGGCTCAATAGGGAAAATAGAGGTAAACCTTCCAAATCCTTCTTCTACCACAGGGATTAAGGGATTTTATCCCAATTTCGTCTGGAGCATCCTTCGGCCAAGGGGATTCAATTTTGTATAAACAACGAGCTTGGACCCCTGGGGGCAGAGGAGCAGGGCCCAATAGAGGAAATAGAGGTACATTTTTTGAAATCCTCCTACCATAGGGATAAGGGGTTTTTAACCAAATTTGGTCTGGAGCATCCTTAGGCCAAGGGCACACAATTTTGTATAAACGGTGGATGAGGACTCCCTGGGGGCAGAGAAGCGGGCCCAATAGAGGAACTAGAGGTAAAACCTTTAAAATCCTTCTCCTACCACAGGGATATAGGTATTTTATCCTAATTTGGTCTGGAGTATCCTTGGGCTAAGAGCAACCAATGGGTGTGGCCCCTTTGGATAAAAATGGGCAGGGCTTAAAAGGGGAATTGGAGGTTAAAACTTTAAAATCCTTGTCCTTGGGATTTTATCCAAATTTGGCCTGGAGCACCCTTGACCAAAGGGGACTTAATTTTGCATAACGGAGGGTGTGGTCCCTCTGGGTGCAGAATAGCGGGGCCCAATAGTGGAATTTGAGGTTTAAATCTTTGAAATCCTTCTTCCTCTGTACCATTGGAGGGATATCATCCAAATTGGCCTGGCGCTACCTGGAGCAAAGGGGACTTAATTTTATATAAAAGAATGTGTAACCCCTCTGGGTGCAGAGTTGCGGGGTCCAATAGGGGAATTTGATGTTAAAATCTTT